TCATAATTTTAAATTAAAACTATTGTAATTAATCTAAAATTCTTTAAATCTAATCATGAGTTTAAAAGTTCTGAATCCTATATAATACACTATATAATGTTACTACTCTCTTTCTCTCTTCCTCTCTCTCTCTCTCTCTCTTCAGATTCACTATTTTCGCGAATACATAAAATTCGCGCACAAGTGCAACTATGTTGCGAGGTCCACGTACCAAAAGAGTTGAAGAATACATTTTAACACGATCGCACACGCACATGAAGCAGTCAGAACTCACCATATTGCATACAAGAAAGTCTGACGGTATCGCGAGATAAAATTAAACGACAGACATTGACTTAGGAAACAAATGATTCGAAAAAAAGGCTCTAGTTCACATCGCGATCGTGATGGAGAGTAACACTGGTGTCGAAAGAGTCGATCTGACTAGTCGGAAGACCAGAGTAACCCTCTAGGTAAATGAATTTCACGAGGGCGGAGCGCAGGCTTATGGGTGGAGCTCATGTTAGGTCCGTCCCATCCAGCATCCCATTCCTGTATCGACGCTTCTCGCGGATCATATCTTCATACATCCAGTGAAAGCGCGACCACTTCCATGTCCTTAATTCGTATAATATGCTCCGTTCGAAAAATTTCAATATATTCAAACTCCACTTTCACTTTTCAAACTTTTATACCTACGTATACAAAATTGATTTAAAGAATTAAGCGAAGAATGTTTTAATAATAATGGACAAAATTATAAAATAAAATACATTTTATATATTGAAATATTATAACTTAAACTAAGATAAGAGTTTTGACATATAATTTGATTTATATATGTAATTATTGCAGAATTATGTCGCGTTTTTTCGAAACGAACCACGTCGTTTTATAGTGCAGCACCTTAATCTATATTTTGGAAGCAAAAATGTTATAAAAATTTATAACATAAATGTTATAAGAATTAAGAGAAGAAGTTTTAATCTGGTTCTTTTCATATAAAACTTTTCGAAACGTCTATTTTTTTATTAACAAATAAAATAATATTAGATAACATTTTAAATAAACATCGCATTTTTACCTCAAACAGTTATTTTATTCAAAATGAATTAAAAGATTCTATGTAAAGAAATAAATTTAAACCTTTTTTTTTTAAATTCTTATATTTTTGCTTTCAGAATATTTAACATCATCATTATAAAATGATGCAACATTCAACGCAAAGTATTTTTGTAATATCATTCATACCAATAGTCAGCTGCAACATATACAGGATATTTCAAAAATTGTGATACAACTAGAAGGAGATGATTCTTTGTGTAAAAGTAAGTCAAAAATATAGAAAAAAATTTTTTTATACAGAGAGCTCTATTTTCGAAAGAATCGAATTTGAGTATTTGTATTTTAAGTACGCGTGCACTTGGCTAATCATTATCTGCTTGGTTCACTCAATCTTCCATTATCTCCTTTGTACATCTGGTATTTTACAGATATTAAAAGGAAATTTAATACAAAAACTTTAAAAATTGTAATTAAAAAATATTTTATTGTTAATAACAATAGCAAAAACTAATCTCTTATATTAACTCTTATATTATAAAAACTAATCTCTTATATTTGTATGAAATTATAGATAATTCTTAATTTTAACAAGTTTTTATATTTAAAAATAGATCAGTTGGTGATGTGAAAAAAAATTACTCATTATGTGCTAAGACACGTGTATCGCAATCGAGGATAAAGGGC